ACTATTGCTGCCTTCTCTTCTCTGGTTTGGGGGGGAGCTATCTTTTTAATATCAGCTCTCTTACATTCCAACCAGGTTCTTACACTAAGATCTATCTGTCTTTCTAAATCTGTCTACCTATGTTCAAAATATATCAAAACAATAACACGATAACCAGTTATTGAGCTACTACTACCTTTTCATATTTTTCTCCTACAAGTAGGCTCAAAGTGCAAGTTCTATTTTAAAAGTAATTTAACAAACCTGATCTCTTTCATCTAATAGTAGCTTAAATGAAAACATTTATGGGAATGCACAATTTTCTATTCCCTTGCAACTGCCTTTAGAAGCAGAAAAGACAATTTGAAAATCTCTGCTAGACTGAAGCTCTTGCTGCCTGACTATTAGGCAGTTTGCTAATTCATCTAATTCACATATGCAGAAGGGTGAGTAAGCAATAAACCATTTCAAATCAATCCATCTGTCAGTAGGTAAAATAGCTATAATGAACAACATGTTTACAGAGCACATTTCCTACTCAGCCTAGTCATTTGCAGGATTCAGGCCACAGATGTCACAGGTTGTCTGAGAAGCGTTAGATGCGAGGCGATGACTGCATGTGGAAGGAGAATGTGAGGATAATTTATGATGATGGATGCTTGCGATTCATGCTCGCTTCATTTGCTCTTTCAATCTGGCTAGCACTCACGGGACTTCTCTGCTTTCCCTCCTCCTTGTTGATGGCCATTTGCTCTGATGGCCTCTGTCATAGGTGAGTGAACACCAACATATGTTTTTGGATAAACCATTTGCTTTATGATGACTAAGGAACGCAGGAAACATCTGTCCTGGAGCTGTTAGATGTTACCATGGTCTTTGGCAGAGAAGGTAGGAGGAATATTTTGTAGCATTTTCTTCTTTTGTGGGCAGAGGAAAGACACAACCTATAAAGTTTCTATTTAAAATATGGCAATTATATTCTGACTCTAGGTTCTTTAGTAACTAACGGAATCCTAAGTTCACTCTTGACATGAGCAGCTTGGGCTCGGCCTCAGTCAACGCTGTCAGCATAATGTCTTGATATGATGAATCTCAGGATTGCCTTCAATGGGAAATCATGTGTACATAAACGACAACAGATGTTGGCTCTGTGTGTAAAATTATTAGGCAAATCAGCAGTATCAGCAAAACCATCTGAGTTGCCAGCTGAAAAATGGGATCATGAAGTGCTCTATAGTGATCCTGAACACGTGACAGATAAATTCACACTGAGTTAAACGGCCTACTGCAACTGTGGCAGCATGCTGTTTAGCAAGAAAGAGACAATTATTTTGTTTCACAAATGAGAAATAACGCTAAAGTCTAATGTCATAATGAAAATTCCTGGTGTAAATACATATGGACGCATTCATATAGGCAGGAACAATATTTGATCAACCTTATGTGCCTTCCAGATTTCTAGGAACAAAGGGCACTGTAAACAATTATTTTTACTAATTTTATCTCTTTATTCTGAGTGACAGCTTTCAGGAAATAGTGAAAATAATAGTTCTGAACACAGGATTCACTCAGGTTGCTTAGTGCAACTTGAAAACTCTGAATAGCAAGATAAGTGAGAGTATTGCAGTAAACCGAAATATTGCAAATGATAAAACAAAACCCTTTAATGTATTCAAATCACCAGTGTACCACTGACTGCTGTCATGAAGGGACCTCTGCAGATGAGACCAGACAACCAATGTGCATCAGCAGGCACTGAGGCTGCCTGTCCACCACCCAAGCAGCTCAGCAGCAAAACTGCTTTTAAGATGTGCTGCTTCTTCCTTTTCACCTCTCTTTTCACCCCACATGCTTTTCTCTTTAGTTGTGCCGTGCATATTACAGCTGTTCAGCAAGTTCAGCATAAGAACTGAATGAGCAAAACGCTCTGAGCTGAGGCACAACGATAGCAACGTGTAATGCTTATAATGGAAGTGCTTACGCTGGAATATTTGTCCCTGAAGCCAATATAAACTATCCTGCTATAATTGTTTTTATACCAGACTGCTTGCTTGTTGTACCTATGTTGTAGCTATCCTAGTTTAACAAAAAATAACAAGTGCTCATACTCCTAATTGAATAATGGAGCTAATAAAACTGTGAGGTGCAGAAAAGGTCTCAGGACCTTCTTCCATGCTTTTCATGAAATGTCTTCCTTCTCCTTACTCAGGTGTTACTATCACACAGCGCAGCAGCAAGCATCTCTTCAGACCCAAGCGGAGCACTGGGGATGCAGGGGCCCTGGTCTGGTCCTCCACAAGCTGGGCACTTCGTATGTTCGAAGTCCTCCTCAAGTCAGGCCTGTTAATACCTAGCCACCCACACTGACTGATGTCCAAGTGTTTTGCGTAGAAGTTTGCTCAAGAATCTCTTTCTGTTTCTCTGGTTGCTTATATCGTATGCATGAGCAAAGCTATCACATCTCTTCTGTGTTACCCACCCTAGGCTTCACACTACCCGCACTGATAGGAGATTTTAATATCTCCGTGGGGTGGACTGACAGAAGAATCTGTCCATGTCCTCTGAGTTAGGGCCACATCTGACAACATCTCACTCTATGAGAAACTCTGAGGTGTTTCCATAATGTAGATGATGGCTATTTTCCTGCTTTCAATGTTCTTATTGAATTAGGTTCTGCTGATTTCAAAAAGTTCAGTTACGTCATGCTTATATCAGACCTGAGTGTAGTCTGATTTGAAATTGAATAATTTGTCACCATAATTTCCGAGACACCTGTACGAACCACAAAGCAGAGATCATTCTATATTCTGTAAGAAGAAAGTAACTAGGGTGATGCTCAATTTTTATTTTGTACTCAGGCATGTATGGTCACTTTGTATTTACTATGGGCCTTTGTGAACAGACAGTTACTTCCTTTCTTCTGTGGACCATTTGCAAGCTTTACATTGACAGCTCTTGGAGGAGAAAGACAGAATATGACATGTGTACAGAATCCAAGATTGATAAGGGTATGGTGTCATTCGTTGTAATGACTAAGAAGGAGTGAAGACTGACAGTTCAATCACTCACTAATAAAGACTTACTGTGTTCACATTCATGAATGTGTTAGTCAAACTCTAAAAGGATATTAGAAGGATATTATTGTTATTATTAAAGCTTGATTTAGTGCTTCCGCTCCCTTGACAGGGTAGAAAAATCTCCATCAATAAACAGAATTTTTAATTAGTCTGAAAACTACTAGTGATTTTTTTCCATCTTGGGAAATGTCTTTTCTGCTTACAGACTGACATGAGACAGAAGACTTAAATACATGATCAAATCACTGTGGTTTGGCAAGTTGTTAAACCTCAACTGAGCCAAAGGACTAATATGTGTGTGCACCATTCCAGATAAGACAGGATCAAGTTACATTTACACTACTTTTAGTTTGCTGTGGACAGAGGTCTCTGACTCACACTGACTGAGTTATAACACTAATGACAGAGACCAAAACCACAGTAAAGGAGCTGGCAGAACGGAGCGTGAGCCTGGGGTCACCCAGCTGCTCTCCGCAGCCCCTTTCCCTGGAGGAGCAGGTGCTCGATGATGGGACTGCTAAGTCTCCTCCTCTTTTACAACTGTTCCTTTTCCTGTGTTCATTGAAGACTTCTTCATACAAACACTTTCCCAAGGAGAGACAGGGGTTTGCCCAACTCAGGTTTTGTATGGTTTCACTCCCATTTCTTCCCTTGGTTTCACTGGCCAATAGGATTGTCAGTTTGTGTTACTGTCTGCCTACAAGAAGACAGCAAGTTCCTTCCCCTAAAACACTTGTGAATCTTTTTTTTTCCCCCTGTGAATAAGTCATGTTTTTCCACTGTTTGGCTGTGAAAATGATTGTTCTCTGTTTCATGTTGACTGATTAGGCGAAGTGCAGACACAGACATCTTGCATTTAAAAAAAACCAAATTCTTCCTTCAGCTGACTGGGTAGAGAGAAGATGGGAAGGGAACGTTCCCATAGCAACATTTTGCATTTCAGCTTGCAGAAATGAGGCTGGCTAGAAGCATTTCACACATGCTGTGTTCAAAGAGCTGGTTGTGCTCTACAATGTTTTCACTTCTGCATGTGACAAGAATTATTTAGCAAACACCAGAGAAATAAAAATCTCTGCATCCCCATACTGATACCAGACATGCTATAGAGCGTCACTGGAATTGCTCTTGTAAAATGGAAACAGCAAAGCAACCTGAGAGCTTTACTATCCCTTATCTGAAGAGACACCACAACTTTAAGTAAAAATAATTCCAAAGCTCAGATGTCATTTTAATAAGAGTTCTTCTCTTACCTTTAGCAGAGACAACTTTGAGCATGGCGTTGTGAAAACAAATTTGGAGGGGACTAACAATAGACTGGGGAAGAGAAAAACCCATACAGGAGTTGTATTTCAGAGACACGGAAGCATGGGAAGGACTACTCAAGTCTAGTAGAAGGGGCAGATAGGATGAAGGAAAAAAGGTCTTTCCCAATACATGGAGATGCTGGAGGAAAACACCACTGGAAAGAAAATGGAAGACAAAAACAATCTTGGACCTGGCTTTTTTGCATTTAGTACTGTGAAGGTTGATTATGAAGCAGTAAGGCAACGTATGTAGCTGAAAAAGAACGAATTAGACTTCAGTGGTGACAGAAGGACAAGGTACCGATTTCCTTTTTGGTTCATTTGTAAAGTACTGGGAGAGAAGGACAGAGCAGATGGAATTCATAGAAATCTTTAAGGGAGATGATATAATCTAGCCTTTCCTCTTTGGCTTCCATCTGTCTGTGTTTCACTGGACATACCCTCTTACTCAGCAGG